CCTAATCAAGGAACTACCAGGGAAAAAAAACACCAACACAGGCAGGGCATGCCACTGTATATAAACAGAGAGCAAACCCCATCCCATTTTAGTACAGCAGATTACCTAGCCGGGTAACAAAACGTCTGCAAGAAAACAACCAAGCTCAGAGAACACCAAGGACTCCACAGTTCATCCCTGAGCTACAAATATTCTCTTCTATTGATATACTGTTTTGTGTACATAACAAAAAAAAAAATTAAAGGAAAAGGTATGAGTGTGTGTTAAATTGTCCCAGAGATTCCATTTTTTACACTGTATTTGTAGTCTCCGTACCTTCATATTCCTCTGTTCAGCAGTAACTGTATTTAGCAGCTTAGGTTGCTGCTTCAGTCAAACCTAGTTTAAAATTTGGTTTTATTTTATTCAAACATCTGTTGTTTTACCGTTTAAAAAAAAAGTATATAGAGAGTGCATACTCACACATGGTGCTATTTAGATCTAGTCTGCTTAATGGTGTTGAGTGAGTTGCTCCAGGAAGCCTAAACTAGTGTTGAGGATCAGGGTAAAAATTCTGGTTCTAGTAATGGACTAGGTGAGATCTGACATTTTGTTAATGGGTAGTTTGTCTAGGTTAGTGTTTCTCAACCTCAGCAATGTTAATGTGTGAACTTCAACTCCCAGAATTCCCCAGTCAGCATGTTGAAGTCCACACATCTTAAAGTTGCTGAGGTTAAGAAACACTGGTCTAAATGGAGTTTAACTTGTTCGGAAAGAAGTTGCAAAGCTCCTAAAGAATAAAGTGCTTATCAAAACATACTTTTAGATTAGGGATCAGCAACTCGTGGGCCATGTGTGATCTCCCCATGACCCCATTTGCCATCTTGAGGTTAACCAGTTTTGCACTAAACGAGTTACAGCCCAAATAAACAAAACCAAACCAGGTCCATACCAGCCATGACTTCTATGTACACTCCTGCTAAAAAAAGTTGCCTAGCTGTGTTCTAGAGCTGTCTTTTTGTTTTGTTTCTTTCATGCTGGCTGGGGAATTCTGGGAGTTGCAGCCTACGCATTGTAAAGTTTCAAAGGTTGAGAAACACTGTTCTAGAGGGACAGGTGACCTCTGTAGCACATGGTACCTGTAACAGTTTAAGCTATTTTGACAACTACAGCCCTACTGGAATATAGTTTGGTTTCAGACTGTACTTTGCTAATCTCTTGCCTTGATTAGTGCAATGTATTATGCATGTGTCATATGCATAATATGACTTGTCAACTTGCCTTTGAGGTAGTTTGGAAATTCGTTAGTACAATAGAGAGTAATTGAAACTAGGCTTCATATGTTCATATTACACTAATTTTACAGGATCTTCATTGGGCCAAAAGTTAATTTCTGGTTCCAATTCAAAGTGCTAGTATCTTATAAACAGTAGCTGAAGGAATCTTTCTTCTGAGATTTCTTACCCAAACTCTAGGATTATCTTCTAAGGATGAGTTGGGATGGATGACTGACCTGAAGCTTTGGAAGGTACTATCCAGCAAGGCACTTTTGGTGCATGTCTTTACAGTGCCAAGACATTTTGTAACACCATTTTTTATTTAAAAAAAAAATACTGACAATAATTTAGATTGCAATGAGAATTTTATCTATTTTTTTTGGTTATGTTACTATAGTTTTAGATGCTTATGTTCATCAATTTTGTATTTGTGGTTTTAAAGTGCTCCAATGTTTGTTTTGAAGATTGGCAGAATTTTTATTTAAAAAAAATTACATTGATCTAGATTTGAGAGAAGAGCATTATCCTTTAATACTAAAGATCATTCTAGGATGGGTGTGGCTGCAGCATCTATACGCACCCCCCCCAAAATTCCCAGCTTCAGGTGCTCTGATTACATAATGATCAGAGTAAAGGAAGTTGTGAATGTTGAGTGATTTGCAACGTTATCTTGATTTTAATCCTGCTTTGTTTCTTGCAGTATATTGAACAGCACAAACCCCTGCCTCTGACCATGGAGCAAGCCTTGCAAGAGCTGAAAGAGCAAGAACAAATGGCTTCTTAGGCTCATTAGACAACAGACAGCACCAGAATTTCTGAAAGAGCTAAAGAGGTAGTTTCTTCAGTCCAGGTCAAGCACAAGTCTTGGGAATCACAACTTGAAACATGCATTTAACAGGACCTTTGAAGAGAAACCTTGACAGAGATAAGGAAAGATCTCTTTTCTTTATCACATTCTGACGCAGTGTACAATTCAGTGCTGCAAATTAAAAAAGCCAATCTTGAAACCTTCCTCTACATTTGCAGTATGAAATGAGACTGAGAAAATACTCCATGGCTGCATCACCTATTAATAAATCTCATCCTTATATAGAAAAAAGTCTTTATTGGAAGGCAACAGTAAATACAAGATGGTAGCTGACTCATGACAGAAGGTAGTTGAAAGATGAGTAAATTTCACAGCTACAGTAAGTCAGTCTACAACAGTTGCTACCTTATCATGTCAAAATGGATGGCTGTGAAAGAACAATTCTACTGGATAGGGAGGAAAATGGTTCTTTCAGTTCGCTCAGGGCAAGCCTTAGATCACTTAGAACTGCTGATCTATGGGCACCCACAGTTACAAAAGGTGTTTTCAAATGGGGTTTCTAGGAATGCTTCATATTTTGAAACAAGCAGGGAAATGCGACGGTGCTACAGATGAGTCAGTCTACAGCACTCCTCTTAATTCTTCTTAAAAGGATATATACAAAAATATAAAAGGCCTAAATATTTTTTTTCTTGTTACAAATCCTTAAACTTCTAGAAGTAACTGTTGAGTGGTTAAGCCCTCTGTTCTGGATGGAGCTGTGATGGCTGCAGAGGGGTATCTTGGGGATTTAGAATGTACAGTAGATTCTTGATTCATTTGCCCAGTACTTGGTAGCTATCTGGCTTCCTCCACTTGAAGCACCATTAGCCTTTAGGAGAAAAATATAATTGTCAGAAAGATATAAACTCTGAATTGGGGAGCTCGAAACACTTCTGAAATGACCAAAACAGCCCATTTTGCACTAAAAAAATAGTTCCACACTTGGAATGGAGTTTTGACTTCAAAACTTTTTGCATACCTGTACACACTAGGAATTTCTGTAGCCAATCCAAAGGGAAAGATTTGCAGAAACATTTGCTATTGGTTTGCGCTGCCCTCAATTTCAACACATGCAGTTGTTACTGGGCATCCTTCAGATACACCCAAGCTTAGTCCAAACATTAAGAACTTAACATTATTCTTAGAAAGGTAGATAACACTTCCTTTTTATTCTTTTAAATGTGCATACACTACATTCAGAAAGACAAAGATGGTTTACAGCAGCACCTTCTTGCTGCTGCTTGTTAAGCATCAGCACCAAAAGCAACCAACACATCCTCCTAAAGCAAGAATTCCCTTTTAGCCAAAGGCTTGCTAACCTTATGGAAACTATCCAAAAGTTTATTTGCCCTGATTAGAGTATTCTTAACCTGCTAAACTGGGCACTTACTTTCATCTCTGGCCTTCATACGAGCAATAAAGGAATAGCTTTTGTTCCTGCGGTAATTCTCATAGGGATCATCTAGGGCTACTCCCACACCCTTATATTGATCCCATTTGTCTCTGATATCCCCTCCTTTAATAGGGTCCTGGATCCCTTGCTCCTTGGCACCCAAGCCCCCAGATCCACTCCATCCTGAAAAACACAGAACAGCATGATCAACCACACAAAAATACCCCAGTTGCCAACCAACAGAACAATGTCTATGTGTTCACTTCCAGTGATTCCAGACCAAAATTGCTCACTCCACGTACAGATCTGCCTCAGGAAAATTCTTCCAGCAGAGGAAATCCTGTATAAAGAAGTAGATTCAGGTCCCTGGATAAATATTTCACAGTCTTCAAGAAAGTAGAATAGGAAACTACATGGAAGGCTTAGGCTTTTTGCAAGACTAAAGTAAGACTGCAATTCTTGCCATACAGACATTACTGGCAAAACACAGCCAGTCCTGAAGTGCAAAGGAATGACTCAGATGGACCCAGATTCACTTGCCCATGGTTGTATGAATGGGATATGCAAACCATTCGACCCTAAGTGTGTTGTTGAAATCCCCCATATCAAATACAGTGTGCTGTTTTCTTACAGAATCAGGATGATGAAAAAGCAAAGCCATTATCTTCCAATTTATGAAAGATTTGAAAACCGCAGCTAGAGACTGAGCACATTTTGCAATTCTTGGTTCAAATAAACTCAACAGAGTTGTTCCCAACTTGATTGGAAATGAAATACCCAGAATTCATAGCACATATGGGTAGTCGCTACATTGGCTGAGAATTCTGGGAGCTGAAATCTCAACACACCTGTGGGAAAGCAGACTGGAATAGGTTGGGCAAGCAGTGATTTCTCCATACAGGGAACAGATTTGGAAGAGTACTGCCTGAAAGATAATGCAGTCTGACAGAAATAGGCAGTCTATCTTACCCATTTTCACCAGCATCTGATGTCCTTTATTCTCCTCTCCAAGTCTGGATTCTGGTATGGGAGGTCCTGAACTAGAGCCCAATCCAGCTGCAGAGCTACATCAGTAAACAGAATTTAGTAAATTAGACCTTTTATATATTCTTGACCACCACTTGATTAGTGAAGATAACAATTGTGATAACAGGAAAGAATCTACATAGAAAATCACAAACTCAAATTTTTTATACAGTGTTAATTATTGTATTAGATAGCTCCTCAAACATTTCAGCATTTTGCCCCCTTCTGACCAAAATCTTTGCAGAATGAACAACTCAAATCTTACGGAGGTGTCTGACTGCGAGATCGGGACCGGCGTCGCCTACCAGGGGAGTAGGATTTTGATCTGGACCTGGAGCGGGAGCGACTTCGTGAAGACCGGGATCGGCTCCTACTCCTACAAAATAAACAGGTGAAAATTAGTTCCATTCTGTAGACTGCAAACAGAGATTGTATGTTCCCTGGTCCCTCCCTATCCATAAAAAAAAGACTTGGGGAAGCATTGGAGCTGCTGACTGATTCTAGGGAGGTAATCGATAGGTATCTTCCAAAACATGAAAGTTATCTGTTACATAGCAGGAAGTTTTAAAGCAAAAAGGCTTCCAAAGGAAAACACAAGAGATACAAGTAATACAAACACCACTTCTGTATCTTTCCGAGAAAACATTCAAGCTCCTAAAGAAACAGTATAAAACTGTACAATCACTGACCAAGCAGAAAAATCTCCCCCAGCCTTCTTTTTTTAAAACCTAATTTCCCCTTTTTTTTTTTTTACCTGGACTGAGACCGGGAGTAGGACCGTGATCGGGAGCAGGATCGTGATCGAGATCTTGAATATGAGCCAGAGGATTTTGAAGACCTTGAATTGGAGCGGGAAGAAGAGCGGCCCCTGCTTTTAGACCTGCTGCGGGATTGGGAGGGGCCACTGCACCAGAAAAGGAGGAAATAAAAATATGTCTTTGACTACTGAAAAAGCAATGTGCAGGCATATCTGGCAATACGAATGCTGCAATCTAGAAAATACTCCAGTTCTGATGCATGTTCATAGGCAAGCAAAAAAGCTTGGGAAGATGCAATACTTGTTACCTTTCCCAATCCTGTAAACTTTGTTAGTATTAGAGGGACTTACTCAGGGCCAAGTGTTTGCCAGCCTAAAATAAGGTCACATTTACATTTGAGAAAGTATGACTGAGATGCGTTCTGCCTGTCTATAGGTAAATTTAGACCCATGCAAAAACAACTTTTCTGTTCCACATTTATGCATCACATGTACTACAGAATGACAGTATTAAAAGTACTATGATGTTCCCTATGGCGTTCTGTACTTTCACTAGGATAACGTGAATGAAACTCCTACCTGTTTCTTTTCTCTTGCCCTTTGCGGCGCCGGGCTCGCATCTTTGCTCTAAAGAACTCATACAGTCCATTCTGCTCCCAGCCCTCACTGAAACAAGAAAATAAGTAGAAAAGGGGAGCAGGGGAGAGAGAAATCAGCTATTTCCTCCTCTATAAGGAAGAAAGCTCAGGGCATTTCTTGCTATAATCTGAAAATGCAACAGTCTAGAACTTCTACAGATTTGGAGAGACAGAAATCAAAAGTATCAGACTGCAGAGTCCACAAAACATTTAGGCCTAGCTCAATTTTTTTACCTGTTTCTTGGCCTATCATGGGATGGGGGACTATAAAAGGCTTCAACTGCAGCCAGCAATCTCTCACTGGGAGGCATCGGAGGGGGCAGGCGGATGTCCTTGGGATCCAAAGGCTTGTACTCATGATCTTCCAGCTAAAAGAAGAAAATCACAAATTCAAATGAGGTATTTCTAGAGACTGGACCCTTAAAAAAAACCTTGCAGTGTGAATGGAGCTAAACTTCCAGTAACTGGCTCAAGGAGAAGTCACAGGTGGAAACAAGTTGCCTGGCACTAAAAGCATCTAGGCTTCTAACTAACTCTACTTAATTATCAGCCCAGACATCTTGCCTCTCCCACAACTATTCAGGAGAAACATCCATACACCTGTGATGTATGAGGTTTTCCTTGGAGAGCCCATTTACAGATGTTCCCAAATCAGCTATCGAAAGCACTTACTTTGACAAGAGGAGCCATGAGTCCAGCAGGGAGATCAAAGTAAGGGACATTTGGCACCAGACTCGGGTCGTCATGGTTAACGTGAGGTGGCCCCTGCCTGCGCATGTGAGGTGGCTGTCCGTTGAAGCCATGGGGAGGAGGTCCAAAGTCAGGGTGCTGCGGCCCACCCCATGGAGGGTGCTCACTGATTCCAGGATGTGGCATGCGGTGTCCAGGGTGGTGGTGAGGTGGTCCAATTTCTGGAGAGGAATTTGAATTCAAGTTCAAACTTGAAATGGCTCAAAGCAGCTTTTTGAAAAGGGATTTATGCAAATAACAAGCGCATTGCGGAGAACAAAAGAGGACAGGAATCCTTGCTAAATTTTAGTCCAGAAACAAAAACAGAAAATGGAGATAAGCTCTTCCCAATCTTACCCCACCTGAGTTCTCTATACACATCAAAATTGTCCCACACAGATTAGCTGAAACATGACTACATCCTGTCTAGTTCCCAGTGTACTGGACAGACAATGCACCTGTCCTTGGCAAGGACTTATAAACTCAACTTGCCCCAGTAGCACCTGCAGGATTTCAAGGGACTTTTCCAGCAAGGCCTGTTTCGAACAGGGTGCAGAAAAAGAGGCATCAGGGCAGCTAACCTGTAAAAAAAGGATTTATGCAAGGATAGAATGAAGCCAGATTCAGGGAAGAAAGAGGATGGTCTAGCTGGTGCAGCACATTCACTTGCAAGCAGATTCAGACAAATACCCTGAAGTCAAAGTTCTAGGCCAATCAGATCAGCGGACTGGGCTTTACTAAAAAAGAGTGCCTCCCTCATCCCACTGGGGCTGACGACACATCAAGAGCAACATCACCACTTCTTATTACTACTGCTATTTGTCGCAACGATCAGTTTTAAAAGCCCACCACTTCAGGGCAATGAAAAAATGCTCCTGGTTTTGTTTTTAAGGGCTTAGAAAAACTAGTGACGGCAGGCATCAATTTGGAAAAGCCATCCCTTACTGAAAAGGCATTCAGAAACATTCATCTAAGCAGGTTCTTCAGAACATTCATCTTTTTCGCTCTTCAGAATGCACTGAGAAAACCTCCATCTGCTCATAAGCAAACAGGCCAAGAATTTTAAAGAAAAGCCCAGGCCAACCTAACAGAAGGTAGATACCACACCAGTACTGTAATCAAGACTAACCCCCTGTTCTCCCCAGCCCTACAATCTACTCACCCTGAGGGAAATCCCCCTGAGGGTAGTCAAAGCGATGTGGATATGGAGGCCGTTCAAAGGGATGCCGTGGGGGGAAATCATCTTGCATGAAGCGAGGTGGGAAGCGGTTGAAGTTATGTGGATGAGGAGGCTGATTGAACTGGGGGTGCTGCTGGTGAGGGGGGAAAGGCCCCCTAAAGTGAGGTGGGCGTTGCATGCGGAAGGGGGGTTCTCTCTGGCCCCCACCCCATGGCGGCTGCTCGTGCTGGTTGTTCCAGGGAGCTTCAAACTGATTATTCCAGGATGGGTCTGGTTGGTTGTTCCAGGGCGCTTCACGCTGATTGTTCCAGCCAGGTTCCCTCTGTTCGTTCCACATCCCTTCATGGTTACTGTTCCACGGAGGGCAGTGGGGAGGACCTTGATGGTGTGGGAATGGAGGTTGATCGGGGGGCTGCAGAAGCAAAGACACAGAGTTATGGGGGTTGCTCAGAAAACCAAGGGCCTGACTAGATGCTGGCCCTCTGCTTCACAAAAGAGAAGCTAAAGAGATCATCATGTCCAGAGATACTCCCCACTCCATACCCACCAGACCTGCAACCAGTACCTGCTGTTGGCCCCAAGGCGTGACAGGATGTGGCTGATCAAACCAGGGTGGCTTATTGGGAGGAATGTGATCATGAGGCCCAGGTCCACGAGGTCCAGGTGCAGCAGGATCAGGTGGCCCAGCTCCAGTGGCTTCGTATTCTGTGGAGCCTGCAAGGGGCAGCTGAGCCTTCCCTTCATCTGAAACAAATGCCAGTATGAGGAAGGACAGCCTCAATAGCCTCTTGCCTGGGCATGGCATAAAAATCAGCCCGGAGGAGGCCACTTAGGGCACTGAATCCAACCCCTGCTCAGTGCAGACTGTTTTGTTGAATAATCCCATCTAATGAAGCTTAGTTATTAAAATTCAGAACAGCCATTCTCTGCATCCCCAAGGCTCTCAGACAGCCAAACCAGAGAGTAGGGGGCACATTCTCTACACTCAGCAGAAGCAGGAAGTCTTGCCACCTCAGAAGAGTTGTACCTGCTTGTGCAATGGAAGTAGTTGGAGGAGGAGCTGAGGCCGGAGGAGCTGGTTTCACTTCACTTTCCAGAGGGGGAATTTGCATTTGTTGCTGCTGCTGCTGCTGTTGCTGCTGCTGCTGCTGCTGCTGCTGCTGCGTGAGGCTGTTGACAAACTCCTCATGCTGTGTTTTCAAAGTCTGAATCTGCTGCTGAAACGCAACCTGCACTGGCTGCACAACACTGGCATATTCTGTGATCAGGGTAGCCTGCAAGGGCAAAGGGTCAGAAAGGGTCAGAAAAGGAAAGATGTTTTAAGGTACAAGCATCGCATTTGAGAATCCGGCCAATACTAAGTATCTTGCTCTCTCTCACAAGGCTTCCACAACACCCATAATTAGATCAGTTGCCAAGCTAGCAGTTGGGTTTGCCCAACATGCTAAGCCTGATTAGTTTAGGTTTGTTTTAGTATTTTGGCAGCTTAGTTTGTTGCTTCCAGCTTGTCTCGTTACTGTAGTTTTTGATTCAGTGTACTTGCAAATTAAAATAAGGTTGGGAAAGCATGTAGAACATGTTTTCTAGAAATCTTTCCTTTATCAGGTCTTTATCAGCATTAACATTTTCTTCTGCATAATGAAATAACTACTGGATTTTTATTTGCATGTTTCTGCTTTCCCCTCATGTTGCTTCTATGAGCATTTGTGTACTTGTGTACTGGGAAGCACAGAGCAGGCGGCAATGTTCTGCTCTGGGTCACATGACTGGAAGGGAGGGCGGCTTCGAACGGAAGAATTGGTAGCATTCTGAACTGCTCCCTGACACCCTCCATCTTAGGGATGCACTGCAGAATGCTTTTCTCCATAGACCCAGTCTGATGTAGCCCATTTTTAATATTTCTTTTGCAAACTTCCTCTGCCACACAAATTTGGTTTTGTTCTGTTTTTGGAGAATTATCCTACTAGTAAAAAGGAGTCCCAAGCCACTTCATGTGATTTTTAACCATTGGAGTGTTGGGAAAAATAAAAAGGGGTTAGTTCAGTTACTAAGTTAATTTCATTTTAAAAAATGCAGCTTACATGTCTATGTATTGATAGTATACTGAAATAAAGAAAACAAGTTTATGTCTAAGTATAATTTCAGGTCAACCCTTCTACGAACAAGGTTTTGCAGCTCTATTTGGCAGAATGCTTGGTGGTGTCCCAGGTCTTTCACTTAGTGTTATTACATAATGTAATATTACATAGTCAGTTATGTTTCCTCCCATCAGCAGCCAGGTTCCAATTGTTGTTATTATTTATGGATACCTTATTATTATATATATATTTTATATTATGTATCTTTCTTCATTAGCCACCAGGAATCCGAGGAGATTATGGCAGCTTTCAAGTCAAACAGTGATAGATAACTATTTCCAAACAATGAACAGATAGCCAGTTGCTTTTGAAAATGTCAGTGTGTATAACTGAGTATCCCTACACAGGAACAAGCAAGGTGCACGCAATGCGTATTGGGGGAAGGGTATTTCCCCACAGAAACATTTGATGAGAATTTAGACCTCAAAACAAAACATCTGGATGAAAGAGAGAAACTCTGTGAAGTGAACACCTTATCTGAGGAGGAAAGTAGCCCTCTGGTTCAGGAATACAGCCATCTTTCTTGGTCACCCTACCTTCTGCCACTCAGAGTGTTCTGGCTTTCAGAAATAAGATTCCTCTTCCAAGGAGTCCCCTAACACTGACAGCAAGCAGCAGCTTGCCCTTGGGAAGCTCTATCATTCAGATGAACAGCAGAGGTAACAGGGCTGAATAAGGCACGAGAGAGCTACCGCCTAGCAGAGTAGGTAAAACTAGGTTAATTACTGTATGGTCAGAGTATTTAAACAACAGCTTCCTACAGTTTAACTTTAGCATTTGTGAGAATTCCAGAACATTAGCTGCAGTGAGAAGCAATATTCTGTCTTAACGCAGTTTCACCAAGTGTTCACTCCTATCTCAAAAGTCTCTAGCATGACTTATTTTTCAGTCCGGCCATTTCTACATTTCTTATGGATCAAAAAAGATGCTTTTTAGCAAAGAAAGAATGCAGAGCTGAGGGCAACAGCTGGCTCAGATTAAACCTAACCCAGTGCACTTTATTTCTACCAATCCTTTCCTTGCTAAGGAAAAAAACTAGTGCCAGGACTTACCTGATACTGCCCGAGTCCAAGGGCTGGACTCTGGAGCTGCTGGATAATCGATTCATCAAAGTAGCCATTTTTCTCCCACAGCTGAAGGAGCTGTGGGAAATCAAGAGGAAGAGAAAGGCCGTTACTTGGCAGGCTGGACTTCAGGCAAGCTCTTGGCTGGCCCTGAAGTAAAGCCAAGCTGCTCACCCTGGCGATCTTCTGTTGCTTGTCCTCCTCCACAGCCAGGAAGCTAGTGCAGTATATGGGCACTACCACCTTTTGCAGAGCAGCCAGGAGATCACGTTGTTGCTTCCGCTGGCTGAAAGGAAGGAGAGAACAAGAACATCATTAGAGGCGTAGCATGTTTAAGTATGTAAAGCTCTTGATATGGACATCCAAAGCATATCAAACCATACACAAGCTTATCACATGCTACATTCCTCTATACATCTCTTCTTCAAGCAGCCTTAATACAGCTGCAAAAAAGAAACGAAACCCCAAATAAGAAAAAGGGCCAATTTCATGTATTTTTGGCTCCATATTTTGCAAATTTTGCTTAAGTTTTATCAGCCAGAAGATTTTTATTAACATTCGGTATTTAAACTTTTTTTTTTTTTGGCTACCATTCGGACTACTTTAAAAATGATTACTAGAACCATCTTAGTGAACTACAGGGCATACAGCTGTAAATTAAAACAAATTAAATTCTCTTTAGTGTCAATATGAGATGCAAATTAGTAACCCCTGTACCCTATCTTTCAAGGCACATCTGATCAAACACTAAGCATGCACTACTTGCACTGGGAACCTGAGAAAGAGCCCACAAAGAACCTCACCAATGGTGGAGGACGTCGTTAATCAGATAGATTAAATGTAGTCGCAGCTCAAAATGTGCCCCCTCGGCAGTGATCTGGTTGCGCAGATGCCCAGCCATTAGCTCACAATGCTGGGGAGATTTGGCATTACTGAACATCCAGTTCTTTCCAGCCTGAGAACATAAAATGGTGTGAAGGTTTGCCATAGTAAACAAAAGTTCAGATTCATGGGTAATAAATTGAAAACTAATTAGAAATTAGCAAAGCTATGGGTAGCATATGGTTTCCTGGGGATGATGATGGAAACCCACCCTGACCTCTAAGAAAGACCATTTTCTTGCTTAGTATGTAGAAAACCTAATGTTTAAGTGACAGTAAAAAGTTTTCAGGTACCAAATGGTACTCTCTTTCCACAAGTTAAAAGTTCTCCCTCTAAGAAAAACTTGCAAGAGTTGCTTCTAATCACAACATGCAATATTAACCAACTTTATGACCTGGCATAATTGCTACATTCTTGGTCTATCTTGATGAATGAAGCAGGAAAATCAAATTAGGAGATCATTTATACCCTGTTCTCTGACCAACTGAGGTCTTTTTATTAAACATTTTAGAGAAGGAATATAAACAAGACAAGGTAAAAAAGATTTTAAAATAATGAAATACATATAGTGAGATACAAGTAAACAAGGGGTCAAGATTACAGGTAGTTCTCAAGTTATGATGGCAATTGGGACCAGAATTTCCTTCGCTAAGCGATGTGGTCATAAAGTGCGACTGCATTGCTTAGCAACAACAATCCCCGCAGTCCCGGTTGTCATCATTAACTGAATCCCACAGTTGTTAGGCAAGGCAACTTCCTGCCAGCTTCCCACAACCAAAGCCAGTGGGGAAGCCGGCAGGAAGTTTCAAGTCCCAGGCCTGCAGGCAGGTAAATGGCTGCTGCGGGGTGGGGGAGAGAATGAATGGGTTTACAGGGGTGTGAGGGAGGGTTGGGAGAGTACACGAGGTGCAGGGAGGGTGCACGAGAGTGCTAAGAATCACAATTTATGCTAACAACATATATCATGAACCATGGTCAACACAGTAGAAATCACTGACTGAAATTATAAGCTATGAGAAATAACTGGAAACTATTACATGGAGTCTATATCAGAATTTCACGAGATATTTCAATTTGAATACAGTAGATTCTCAGTCTTGATTCAATTTTTATAACTTTTCCAATTTCATAGATATACCAGATTGGTTTGCAATACAAAGACAGGTCCAATTCATTGCTCTACTATTAGTTTCATAATTTGTTCCACTGTTCTAAAACAGTGTTTCTCAACCTTGGCAATGTTAAGATATGTGGACTTCAACTTCCACAACTCTGGAATTCTGGAATCTGGAATCTGTTAATTCCCACTAATATATGAAGACAATTTCATGTGATCACTTGGAAGTCTTTTTCAAGCATGTAACAAATATCATATCTTTGCATCAGATACCACCTTGATCTGACTGATTTTGCCATTACTTACTGAGATAGCATCTTTGGTGCATGTGTCAATGATTGGTTGTAGCAAGTTATCAAACTCATTCATGTCCAACTGGGTTTCCTCCAAGACTTTCTGCATTTGCTGCTCAATAGCCAGAGCTATTGCAGAGGTAATTTGTTCCTGAGCAGAGAATTAAAGAGAAGAACCTGAATCATCAGCTTGGCAGAGTCTCCAAATTTTCTTGCTTTAGAAGTCAGGCTTGGCTGTAACACTTTTGACATTTACTGACCCATGGCTGAGGCAGTCCTTCTTATAAGTTACAGCTTGCTTTACCAGAACTATAAAGTAGCTAAAAATGCTCCTTCTTCAAGGAAAGCAATATACCTTCCCAGGGCCAAATCACAAAGGAGGAATCCACCCAAGTAGGAACAGAAAAGATAACCCATCTAGGTTCTCAGTAGATTCAGCCAACATATTTCAAATAAAGTCTTTGTAGCGAGAATAAGAAAAACAAGGGAATACTCTGTAACAATTCTTCAGTATCTCTGATGAAGGCTATATTCTAAATGTATTGGGCAAACTATTTCTAAATGCATTATTTTCTCATCTTTCTTAAATCAATAGCATATCCTATGGTAAATAGAAGATTTGCCAAGTACCTTGCAACTTTGATGTAGAGTTAGTCAAAATAATTAGTCCCCTCTTGACATGAGTTACGATGCCTTGCCCAAACCAACCCAAAATCTCAGAACAGCGCTACTTTGTCAAATCCTTACCTGTCTCAAAGCAAGGAGATGCTGTTCCTGCTGCTGCAGATTCCATTGGCTCTGCTGGATCAATTCCTCCATGGAAGGGGTCCCCTGAGGAGTGGCGATAGGGGTGGAAGGAGCCAAAGGTGGCTGGGGAATTGGTTGCATCTGTGGGGTAGCCTCAATATCTTGGCTTTGCTTGCACAATACTATAAAGGAGGAGCACAGAAGAACCCTAAGGAAGCCATTTCTGAAGTATTGGATCATATACTCTCTTTCCCAGTTGTCAAAATCCATCAAACATTTTGCAAACAGGATGTTTGCAGGTGGAAAATTTCCCATCCTGATAGGGAAAACTGTCTTTCTTTAGGAGAAGTGAGGATCTGGGCAGTGGTTTTAAAAATAGTTTCTTAGAAACAAAGATTCCCGAGATTCCTTTTCCCTACCTAGAGCTAGGCAGCAAAAGCTGCACTTACTGTTGATCTCTGTACACAAGTAATTCTGAAGTTATCTGAAGGAAAACAATCAGGGACTTTCAGCTAAAATATTAACAAGTACACAGCAGTTCTGCTATAAAATGATCAGGATCAAGTTGCAAAATATGCAAGTCACATGCAAGTTGTTCTTTTCTGCAACCTTCAGCAACCCCCAAGACTGTTTGAACTTCAGAAAGAAGGGAAAAATTCCAGGCAGTTCTTGAAGACACACAGCAAATAAAAAACCAAGCCAACAATATCTAGCCTCTTAGAATATATCTAGCTTGAACGCTACATTTTTTGGAAATTCATGGGTCTTCTAAGAGTTCAATTGGATGACAGGCTGGAGTGACTTTCATATGTTCAAGCCAGTCATCCCCAAGAATATTACAGAGCATGGCAGCTTGGGGAAGAGATGTGATGTAGCCAATCCAAAAATTAGTAAACTTGAATAATATAGCCATTTTATAGTCTCTCAGCTTCAGACATTTCCCATTCCAAAATGGGACTAACAACAGCAATCCACTTTTTAGCATTGCTGATATCATATGGCATGTTTTGGATAGTTTATGCTATTATCTACAGCAAATTCTCCTGCCACCCTCCTCCCTAACTCACACTGTTGCTGCTCCAGAGCCAGCTTATACTTGTAATAGCCATAGAAATCTCCTCCAAATAGAAATGAGAACTTGGGATTTTCCTTTTGCTTTTCCATTGTCATCTTCTCAAACTCAGGACCATTCCGTGCCACAAACTGGGCCAATTTGTCAATGACATTGCGTAGTTCTTGATCTGTAAGGAAGGAGGAGCAGGAAGAGTAAGAATGGGTATCACTGTGCGTTTATAAATTAAGAAATCACCTCTACTCAATCACCATACCTATAAAACAACCTCAGGAAACAGATACCAGGTTATACCAAAAAAAAAAAAAAAATCTATCTAATCTGGCAGTGTGCTTCCTAGAGTGGCCAGACTGACTCTCCAATAGGACATATTTTTTAAAAAACCATTATCTAGATGCTGACATCTACTTCACACATGTATTTCCAGATTCTACCCTCCTTGTCTCATTCCTCCATTTATTGAAAAATCTTAAAAAAAAAAACTTTAATAAGAATTACCAGGTATGTTATGTTTTCTGATCAGACTTTAGGCTTATTCTGATAAGAATAAGCATGCTGATTGTTTTAAACCACTAGGTGTTATCTACTCTAGCAGCTCTTTCAGAACTGAAAACCATTCACATTCAAACTATTTCTTTCTTTTATACAGAAAAAAATAGCTGAGAACTGCTTACATGAAAAATGGTACAGAAATGCTGAATTATTCTTGTATTTTGGTCAAGCAGGTAGATTCCATAACACCACCTGGCACCTCCCAGTCCTGCCATCGTGTATGGGTGGACATAACCCCCGAAGTTACTGCTTTTTGAAGCGACAGGAAAGGGTTAAGGGGGCGTGGCCTATGGTTAATGTGGCCTATATTAAAGACTGTTTCTCCCAGATTTACAGTTCCAGAAGCCTTCCGGCTCAGCCGGTCGTCGTCACTGCTATTAACCGGGCCGAGCCCTTTCCTTCAAGGCCTCTGAGCATGTGCGGAGTGCTTTCCCTTCCCTTTTGAGGACTGGCTTCCGCAACAAGCCAAAAGACATAATGTTGTTACGAAGCATCCTCGCCACTATCAGGCCAGGTTTGGGGATAGTCGAAGCTGCCCTGGCTATCACATACACACACACACTCCGAATTTGTGCCCCACCACCCTCCGTGACGTCACAGGCTCACCTTCGGGCGGGGGCGGCAGCGGCGGGGGCGGCATCTCCATGGCGGTAAAGGAAAGGGAGGACAAACACTCAAGAGCGTCTTCGGTCACACTAGGCCCCGCCAGCCGCCGAGCGCTTCTCTATCGTAAAAGAAGCCCTGCTTGCGACACCGCTTCCTCCTTCTTCACGCGAGCTCGCTCTTGACGGCTTCGTCGCCATGGAGATTCTAACTCCTCCCTCCAGCGTTGGGGGTGGAGCAGACTTTTCCCTCGAGGACCCGCCTCGCGCCGAGCCCAGCAAGCTTTGCCGGCCAATCAGTGGCTTCCGATTGAGCGCGAAGAAAGGAGGATCGCCGCTTCATTCATAGAAAGCGTGCTGGTCTGAAGCGGGAGGGTTGAGCAACGTGTATTTTTAACAGGGTGGTCAAATAATATCGCACCTTTCTTACGCCCCGTATATCTTCACGCCTACCTTGCGAGGTTGGCGGAATCAGCAGCTTTAGCCAGTGATACCAACTTCTTTGCGCGCTTATCTGCACATTAGCCCCGCTGTTCGCTGAGGGTTGAGTCTCATGTACGGGGGATATTGGAAGCGCGAATTTTCTGAGGTGCCCTTGCTCTTGGCCAGAGGCTGCGCTCCCAAATTTAGTGGGTGGAGCCTCCCCAAAACCTCATTTTGATCTTACATCTATTTAAAATTAAATATAGTTGATTTTCTGTCACATTAAATAATTATTTTGGCAATACCCTTGCACCCAAGCACTTTTAAGTGGAGGCTCGGATTATGGACTTGTGGAATACATTTAGTGCCTTTATTATTGTACACAAGACTGCAGCAAAAAGATCAGGAAAATGTCTCATTAAGGTTCCTTGTTTTTTTTCATAATTACCTAGCCAAATGTGCATTCTTGCTCCCAGTGGGGCCAGGTGGACTTAGAGGGAAGCTTTCAAGTTGCCTTCACAACCAACAGGCCTTGATGGGGAAGCCTGCTGTTGCCATTGTTCTTGTTTTAGGTTTGGCCCCCGGAATGGAGGTCCAGTGCCTTGCAGCCCAGATGACTCCCCCCAAAATCAGCATTGTCCCTGCCCCATTTTTCTGCCCTCCGAAGAAACAAAGATGTTGAGCATGACAACTTATTTTTCACAAGAGAACAAAAGATGTCAGCACCATCACTTGGCAGGCAGGGGGAATGAATACAGTACCCCAAACTGAAGACTAAGAAAGAATGTGGGAGTGCCAGAGGGAGAAAAT